CGCGGGTGGCGCGAGAACCGTGGGTACCCACCCCGCCGAGGAGGAGGTGTGTATCGTTCAGCACGTCATTAGTGCTTGGATGGATTGAGACACTAACAACTGATTCGACTAAGGCCATAAGACCCGCGTGACGATGAAGATGGCTAGCTCTTAGAGTCTGGGGCGGTTTGCTTTCCGCCCAACGAGGACCAGCTGTAATCAATGATTCCGATCGACGACCAATGTCGCTCGCACAGAGACCTGCAAAGACAAGGCTTCACCAACACACCCCTCCCATCACCTCCAACGAACCGGTAGTATTTGTGCAATTTTTCTGTATGGTACACACAATTAAAAAAAAAAACACGAGCGGCAAAGAGGCAGCCGCAGCAGCCGCAGCATGGCCACGGTAAGAGTGCGGATGGCGTGTAGCGCACCTGAGCGTAGAGAGTGAGGAGGCCGCAAACGAGCTGCCGGTGCCACCTCCCCGCCTCGAGGAACGGGTCGTTGACGGAGGGAGCAGGGGCGAGCCCGCCCCAGAGCTTGGTCCGGTGTTTCGCGTCGACGGGGGTAAAGCAGCGCATCCAGATCTGGTAGACATGGCCCAGGGAAAACACACACACACACAAGGGTCATTGACGGCGGGGAGACAATACTTCAAAGGGTGTTATATAATAGTGCCTGGATGGTATGTACAGCAAAACGAGTGTCTGGATGGTAAGAACGTGTGAGAGCAATGGCAACACTAACAGTTTGTCTGCTGCTTGGGCGGTGAGGAAACGAATGGTGACCGCTTGGGTAGACGTTACGGAGGGACGCAAGCGTGTCGAGAGATTCAAGACTCCTCGAGGAGGCTGGAGCGATAGCATAGCCCCCTGACTTCGCATCCGATCTCGGCGGCTCGTAACCATCGTCCCCGCCTGTACTACATAGCTTCAGGTGGTGTACAAGGCCTCTCCAGAACGAGATCTTTGCCCTGCCCCTACTTTTTCGCTATAGTCCACGTCGTCGTTGACAATATAATTATTTTTTGCCATCGGCGTCACTCTTTCGGAGAATGTTTCAATGATAAGCCGCAATTTGAGTGAGACTGTGGCGATTGAGGGCATTCCCTTACCTTGTAGAGTGTGGAGGAGGGGGAGGTACCGCAGAGAGAGAGAGAGAGAGAGAGAGAGAGAGAGAGAACACAACAGTGTCAACCATGAAGACAGCAACAGCAAACACGCACGTATTATGTTCAAAACCCACACAATATTTTGCTTTTCCAAACCTGTACCGCAGAGTCCACCTTACAGAAGTGGTAGCGGCTACTACGGTTGGACGAGAGAGTCCGGACAAACAAAAACAGATACCATAAAAGGTATTCCATACCTTTCTCATAGCTGGGACAAAGCCACGCTAGCCCGATTAAAAAATCCGTATGGTACAACACATTTCAAATAATCTCTCCTGCTGAACCATAGCCGCCATGTACCTGAATCAAGGGCTCCGCGTCGCAGCGCATGGCGTGGGCCATCTGCCTCGCCGTCACCAGCCCGAGCGCCGCCGTCAACTCCCGCGGAGGCCAAGCCGCCTCCCACCCCTCCACCAGACCCGCCGCCACCCCCCCGTCCCTGGCTTCCTTCGCACCAGAGCCTTTACCCGCCCTGCCACCGCCCGCCAGGTGACGGGGTGACCTAGCACCCGAGAGCGAGTCGTAGTCGTTGTCGTAGAGGTCCGAGCCTCTTACCGCTGCTGCTTGGACCACTCCCGCTAACGTCTGCGTGGCGAAGTGCTGCACCGACTCGAGCGCGGTCTGGAGGTCGTATGCGGCGGCGGGGAGGGGTCTAGGGGGGTCGACCCCAAGCACCTGCGGTTTGGGGCACCGAGAAATCGCGGGTGGGTGGGTGGTTCTGGTTCTCGTTGATCTTGCCGGTTTGATGAGATGAACAGAGGCGTATTTTCAGGATGAGATAGATGAAAGGAGGCGTGTTTCCATAGAGAGCGATCGACCGAGACGCTGCTTGCGATCCGGCGTATTGATTGGCTACTTGTTTGTCGTGCAGGCGGACGCATCTGCAATAGAGGTACGGTAGGTGTGTGTACCGTTGGGAGGTGAGTCTTTCATGGATGCGGATAGACGTATGCAATGGCTAAAAATCGGCAAGCGGTCAAGATAGCTCAACACAACACACCGTATACATCGCTTGCCAACTGTCATCTTCGACGTATGGATCGGCCCTTGTGTACCGGGAGAGTGTTGAGGTTATTGCTCGAGGCACCCAACCATTGTGGCGTAACACGACACAAAAGTATCAAAAACCTTGCAACGGCAGACAAGATGTTTGCCATCACAACAACAGAGCTACACTCCGACACGGACAGAACTCCTTTGTACACAGGGGCGAGTCGCGGGACACAGAAGAGCGTGCTAGGAGTTGTTGTTGTTGTTGTTGTTGCTGTTGCTGTTGTTGTTGTGTTCACATATAAAAAAGTGCCAGGAGTGCGATCGGAAAATTTACGGGCGTGAGGCCTCCCCGTTTCCCTCCCTTCGCAGCATTTTCGCACCTCGACATGGCGGTTGCACAAGAGCTCATCCTGCAGCCCTGCCGTCGACACCGCCTCCAAGAAGATGTCGCACGCCCCCCCCCCCCCCCCC